GTTTAGTTCTGGTTTAGTCCTGATTTAGTTCTTGCTTAATTCTGGTTTAGTCCCGACTTAGTCCCGACTTAGTCCTGGTTTAGTCTTGATTTAGTGCTGGCTTAGTCCTGGTTTAGTTCTAGTTTAGTCCTGGTTTAGTTCTAGGTTAGTCCTGGTTTAGTTCTGATTAGTCCTTGGTTTATTCTTGGTTTAGTCCTGGTTTAGTTCTAGTTTAGTCCTTGTTTAGTCCTGGTTTAGTTTGTGTTTAGTCCGTGTTTAGTTCTGATTTAGTCCTGGTTTATTTTTGGTTTAGTCCTGGTTTAGTTTTAGTTTTAGTTTAGTCCTGGTCTAGTCTTGGTTTAGTTTAGTCTGTCTTGCTTAATTCTGGTTTAGTCCCGACTTAGTCCCGACTTAGTCCTGGTTTAGTCTTGATTTAGTGCTGGCTTAGTCCTGGTTTAGTTCTAGTTTAGTCATGGTTTAGTTCTGATTTAGTCCTGGTTTATTCTTGGTTTAGTCCTGGTTTAGTTCTAGTTTAGTCCTTGTTTAGTCCTGGTTTAGTCCGTGTTTAGTTTGTGTTTAGTTCTGATTTAGTCCTGGTTTGGTTCTAGTTTAGTCCTGGTTTAGTTTTTATTTAATTCTGGTTTAATTTTTGTTTAATTCTGTTTAGTCCAGATTTAGTCCTGGTTTAGTTCTAGTTTAGTCATGGTTTAGTTCTGATTTAGTCCTGGTTTATTCTTGGTTTAGTCCTGGTTTAGTTCTAGTTTAGTCCTTGTTTAGTCCTGGTTTAGTCCGTGTTTAGTTTGTGTTTAGTTCTGATTTAGTCCTGGTTTGGTTCTAGTTTAGTCCTGGTTTACTTTTTATTTAATTCTGGTTTAATTTTTGTTTAATTCTGGTTTAGTCCTGGTTTAGTTCTGTTTAGTCCAGATTTAGTCCTGGTTTAGTCCTGGTTCATTCTTGGGATCAGTCCTGGTTTAGTCCTGGTTTAATCCTGGTTTCAGTTCTGGTTTAGACCTGGTTTAGTCCTGGATCAGTCCGTATGCGGCGCAAAACTCCGGCATCGCAGTTTAAGTCTTTTTCTTCTTATTATTTCTGGTTTTATTTTGAAAAACGAAGGAACAAATGTTACACGAATTTTCATCCTTCACAGTGTTTTTGCATTTTTGAATAATCTTGCAATCTCTCCAGAGCCCTATTCAAAACCAAAACTAATTACACAATTTAATACACTGTTTTAGGCAAATACAGCAATTTCACAGAATAATCTAAATATGTTACTTAACCTTTTTAAACACAAAATATTCAAATGTCAGAAAAAACTCACTCATGAATTGCAAAAACATAAAACAGAATAAATAAAGATAGAAAAGTCTCCGCCAATTGGGCTCATCACAGGATCAGAATACAGTTCGATATTGTTATTCCGACCACCTACTCCAACCAAATCTTTATTCATCCCGATGTTTTTCTTATATGAGCACATCTCTGCACTTCATTGCACTATTTTGAAATGTTCCCGACTTGAACTGTATCATTAAACTCTCCCGGTGTGAACTCTGAACACTGGACCTACTTCACGGCTTAAACCTCAACACAAACGTTCACAATGAGCTTTTGTGCGGCTTCATTTCTCACTTTCCCTCTCGTCTTACAAGATTAGGCTTATTTTCACGATGGGTATTTCAGGAAATAGACCCAATGAGCCAAACGTTAAAGGTCTTTTGATTCGGCTTTCATTAATCTACAAGGGCCGTGTTATGAATCTGTGTATCGTTCGTTCAGTCGTTTTTCAAAATAAAAACGAAAATAAGAAAATGAAAAAAACAACTATTTTCTTCATTATTTGTCTACAAAACCAAAACCGTTTCTGTGACTTAAACCTGAACCAGGACTAAAACAGGACTAAAACAGGACTAAAACAGGACTAAACCAGGTCTAAACCAGGACTAAACCAGACTAAACTAAACCAGGTCTAAACCAGGACTAAACCAGGACTAAACCAGGACTAAACCAGGACTAAACCAGGTCTAAACCAGAACTAAACCATGTAAACCAGGTAAACCAGGACTAAACCAGGACTAAACCAGGACTAAACCAGGACTAAACCAGGACTAAACCAGGACTGAACCTAAGTGTTGGGACAGGCCAGAGGTGAACCCACGTTGGGACTGTTGGGTGATCAGGACTGAGACCGGGACCATACCAGGGACCGGACCAGGACCGGAGATGGGACCAGAAGACCTGGACCTGAGACCAGGGACTGAGACCAGGACCAGACCAGAAATGAGACCGGGAATGAGACCAGGATTGAGACCAGGAAGACCAGACCAGGACTCAGACCGGGACTGAGACCAGGACTGAGATCACTGGACGGACTGAGACCAGGGACTGAGAGCAGTTTAGTCCCTGGTTTAGTCCTGGTTCAGACCTGGTTCAGACCTGGTTCAGTCCATATGCAGCGCAAAAGTCCGGCATCGCAGTTTAAGTCACGTAAATAGGAAACAGCCGTTATCCATTTGTTTCATTTTGGTTTTGGAGACAAATAATGAAGAATTAATTATAGAAGAAATAATTTATTTTTTTTCATATTTTTGGTTTTATTTTGAAAAACAAATGAACAAATGATACACGGATTATTATGCTAAATCAACTTAGTGCTTTTCCATGTTATAACAGTGTTCCCTCATTAACTTACATGCACGCTTGAGTAAATTTCATTCGTCATTGCTCTAAAAAAATTACATTCTTACCCACCCCCTACACACGCCCACTGCTCTGTACTTACTTTGCACTTCATTCTTATTCATCACTGAACACTGACTTTAGTTGACATGTAAACTGTACTCTGATTATTATCTGACTTTTAAGATTATTAAAATGACAGGCAAACCACAAAATCTGATGTGAGTGATCTGAGTGACCAGATTGGAATGACATCAGATCATTTTGCATGTTTCTACATCATTTTAATCGTCTTAAAACGCTGGCAACTCTGGTGAAATCTGATAACAATCAGATGAATAATAATAATAGATTTGTAGCGCACATGTAACCGCAGCCACTCTTGTGTAACCATTTTGGCTCTGATTTGAAACGCCACGACTATTATTAGGCAGATTGTTATGATGACATAGGGCACATGCCCGAACAGGATTATGAACAGTCCTGTGGGCCACGCTCACACCTGCACAACCAAACCACCCACTGATGTCATCATGTAGCACTGTTTGTTTGCAAGTGCGAAAGTTATAAAACAATCTCTCGGACTATAAATCGCTCCAGAGTATAAATCACACCAGCCAAAAAATGTGTAATGAAGAAGAAAAAAAAAACATGTATAAGTTGCACAGGACTATAAGTCACACTTTTTGGCAGAAATTTATTTTATAAAATCAGAGACCAAGAACCAACATTTCATCTTGAAAGCCAAGTTATAGTAAAAACAATAGAACAGAGAACAACAGAATGTTAACGTCACATATAAACAGTTCTTCAGATAAATATAACATAAACAACAGAACAAGTTTACCAAACTCTCCATCTCACTCAAAATCACTAAATCCATTGAATTCTTCACCCTTGTTGTCACTTCTGAGCAACTCTGTGACTTACAGAGATAAACGGAGCGCCTCAGACTCAGCATCAGCTCAAGTTAGAATTATTCCGGCCTTTCTGAATCCCGACAGGATCGTTTCGATTGTCTTTATGTTTGATTAACTTTTAAATTGTCAGTGATACAGAAGTAATGGTGCGATCGACTGACATGTTACAGACAGGACAGAGGCTCTTTCTCTTTCTTCTGCAGTCGACATGTGCAGTAGAGCGACAGTGACAAGTGACAAGTGGTACAGGAGCACACAAGCCTAGAGCCTCTCATGGTTGTCAGTGTGAATATTTTAACATATACGTTGCATATAAGTGGCAGGAAACACCCAAACCATGAAAAAACTTATAGTGCAACTTATAGTTCGAGAAATACAGTAATTAAGTAAAGTAAGGCAGACATGAGTCCTGCTGTGATACTCACTGCTCTGTCTCTGTTTGGATCATTTGATTATCCGTGCATTATTTTAATTGTAGCCAAATGATATTATATATTGTGCACAAACTTGCAGAGGATTACTGAGTTATAAAAATGTTTCCAGTCTAATTTGATCATGGACAGAGTTTGAGTTTTGTTGGCTGTTGTACCTTCGTCAAATCAAATAATCAGTTCCTCAAAGCCATAATGAAAGATTTCCTGGAACATGTAACTGTAAACGAAGCACGAGCCACTGCCAGCACCGCGGCTCAAACAGCTGAGTCTGTGTGAAACCAGACAGAAATAAGATACACTGTTGTGCCGTTGACAAGCCAGTGAAAGGATTAGATCTTGTCACTTTTTGAGCAGTTCCTTGTAAAATAACTATAATCACAATGACAGGAAATGTGAAAATGTTGAAAAAACTAAACAAAAACACTTTAAATTTACCGCATCAGGATAACCTCGAGCGGCATCATCTGGGTCAGCTTTAATAAAAACTAATTTCGTTCATGATTGATCAAAAGGAATCAATTAATCACTAAGCAAAATAAATGTCTGCTGTAGCCTTAAACAGCACATTTTAAGAATATAACAAAACAAAATGAACAGCTTAATTAAAAGTTGTTTCGATTTAAGGAGCGGAAGGAAGAAATAAATAAATAAATAAATATATAAATCTGACTTCAACGAGACTCCATAAATGTTTGATATTTTGTTCTAGGGGTGGAGCTTAACATTTTTTCGCACATTTTTTGACCTATAAATGATTTCACTACCATGTTAAGAATAGAAATAGAAATAGGAAGAGTTAATATGGTTAAGTTTAAGTCTTTGGGACATGAAACAAAATGCCAAATATTTAGAAAGTCTAATATAAATTTGACTTCAACTGCACTTGTTTTTGTAGCTACAAAAATTAAGACGATGCCCCATTTCCGTAAAGCCCTAAATGCTTCTGTTGTTCCAAAATAAATTGAATTGACTGAAATTGAATCGTTACCTTCCATGTTTTGCTTCCGTGGAGTCGGACCAGGCGCTCGAGGCACTGATATCCGAGTCTGGGATGGTCCCGTCCTCCATCCCCAGAGCGTAACGGCACTGAGCTGAAAGAAAACACACGAGGATACAACACAGACATGAGTTCAGGTGAGGGAAAAGACAATAACATTATTTTCTTTGACCAATTTCTCAAACTGTGATGCATGTAGGGCCCTCAGTTTGAGTATTTGCTGTATTTATTAAAAGTTTAAACTAGGGATGTAACAATAACTAAAATATCGTGATATCGTATCGTCAAAAGTCTCACAATAATATCGAATTACAAGTCTATTTGCTTAAATTCATTGTTTTGGTGCAGCAATTACTTAAAAAAAATGAGTGAACTACATATACCATGATCCTTTGCTCCATTACAGTGCACTCTACATGAAAAGTAATATAAATAATAATTTTTAAGCACATTTTAATCTTAATTCTTTGGTTTATGACAGAACAAAAGTCACGTCAAGGTATTTTAAAAGAAAACAGTAGCATTTTCACAATTTTGTAAGCGTCTACAAAATATTGCAATAAATATCGTACCGTTACATCCCTAGTTTAAACATTTCTGCATTTCTGTTTTGACTTTCTTTGAGTTAATCATTGTTTATGACGACTTTATCCATGATCTAGTCTCATTTTGGACCACGTTTAGACCTAATTTAAGCCTTGGTGTGAAAAGTTGGAGCCTATGCAATGGTTTTCGCTTCTTGTTAAATGCAACACTTTTCCCATTCAAAAGATATTATCATTTGTTTTAAATTGTTAATCACTATGGTCCTAATTTGGCATCATTCTAGGTCACAGTTTCAATTTTATCTCAAGCCATTTAGACTTCTGTGGAAACTGTTGTTGTGTCCTTAGGCAAAACGCTTCCACCACAGAGCGCGGAGTGAAAGAATAATGTGTTGTAAAGCTCTTTCACTGTTGAAAGCGCTACATAAATCCAGTGCATTATTATGAATAGTTTATATTGATTTTAAAAGGTAAGAGCGGCTGCATTGATACTTCCACACACCATATCAAATTTAGGACTAAACCCAGAGCTACCTAGCCTGATTCATCAGCCGGTTTCACTTCGTGGAAACCGTCTAACCTCGCAGCATTAGGATTTGTTCACTTAATGGTAGGCGGGTACTTTTTTTTTATTTAACCAGTCGCTGCTATTTGGTCGTGACGTATGTATTGTACCAAATCCCGTAGGAAGTAGGGCAATAACATCTTTCACCTTGATAAAATTCACCAAACATTCTCTTTGTTCCAGTTTTAAATCCTCGATCTGGGGAACAGTTGCCAACACAGAATGTATGACTTCATCTACATACATCTCGACCACTTTGTTTACTGTTGTGTTGTAACAAAAAAGGGACTCACACAGACGCTTAAGTTTGACATCACGGCTTCACAGCTCTTCACTGATTGGCCGGTGCGCGGTCTACAACTTAGGGGGTTCTTGCAAACCATCTAGTGTATTCTGATTCCTGACCTAGTCGCTGGAGAGAAATTAAACTGAGTGGAGGCACCAGCCTGGCTAAGGACTACCTGGACTAGAACTAAACCAGGACTGGAGTAAGACCAATGTAAAGCAGGACTAAAATGGGATCAAACCTGGACAAAAATAGAGTGAAAGCATCCAAAAACTCCTGTACACTGAGCAGCTTTGTATTGCCTTAACAATAGAAATCTGCTTCTTCTGATTGTTCATTCTTCACTGTGATTGGTTAAGCCCAGCTGTCGCTCACTCAAGGAAAAACAGAAGCTGACCAATAGGAGGAGAGGGTGGGGAAAAGTTTCTCTGTGTGTGAGCACCGAGCTCCACTGGAACTGCACAACTGTGATTTATCTGTGCAGGGCTTCAAGGGAAACTCCATATTTACGAGTGATTGTCCAGCGCCTTATGGCCACGGTGAATTATGATGTCATTTTCTGTGGGAAAACATGAAACCGGGAAAGGAAATCTTCATGAGTTAAAACGTCTTGAAGGGCACATATTATGTTATTTTCTGATCTACAGTGTGTTATAATGTTGTTTCCTCATCACAAACATATCTGGAGTTTGGTTTTGTTTCATTCACACAAGTTTAACACACAAACTCTGCATATTGAGCCTGAACTTCTCTCAAACAGAAAACACTCTTTTCCACCTTGTGATGTCATGTGGTAATACAAGAAGTGCTCCACTGTGTTTTTAAACTCCATACACCTTCACTAGAATCATTTGGATAATTTCAGCGTGGGAATTTTTAATCTCGACTTAACTAAAGGTAAAAGGTAACTGTTAACTTCTAGATGTAAACAGATTATAATAATAAAGTGTTACTCAAACATGTTTAGATGAAACAAAACACAATTCCAGGTATATTTTTGATGAAGCAACAATGTCTAAAAGTTCACATTAGTCGATTTAGCTTACTATAGGACCTTTAAACTACTATTAAAGGGACACTCAAGAATTTTGGACAGAGGACCTCATTTCCTAGTGAGCCAGAGTGTTGGAGACGTGTGGAGACACTTTTTAAAATATTCCATCCAGTCCTTGTATTTGCAGAGGTCGCTGGTGCTAGGCTAGTGCATGTCAATGGCCATAGTTATCCTGCCGCTAAAAAACATCTTACCCACTCCACAAAACACCCGAAACTAATTTATTATTACACCAGACTGTCCTTGTGAATGTCTGTGTTGATAGAATAATTTCAAAAGTAAAACCAACCTTGACATTTGAAGGATTTATGCCTGAGCAGCAGCAGCGAGTTGTACTAACTGATAGAAAGTTTGGCAGCGGCGGATTGATATATGAGAAAATAGTCCCTCAACATGTGACAATTCATGAGATGCAAGGTTAGTTTTATTTCAAACACTATTTTTATCAACACAGACATTTACATCGACAGTCTGGCATAATAATAGATTTGTTTTGGGTGTTTTGTGGAGTGGCTAACTATGACCATTGACATGCACTAGCCTAGCACCAGCGACCTCTGCAAATACAAGGACTGGATGGAATATTTTAAAAAGTGTCTCCACACGTCTACAGCACTCTGGCTCACTAGGAAATGAGGTCCTACTTCCAAAATTCAGGACTCTCCCTTTAATCTTGTTGTGAATATCCATGATTATTTGACTTGCTTCGAGGTATTTCAGTCAAGTTGCAATTTAATTTTCTTAGTCCAACCAAATGTTTGTACCGGGAGGATTAAGGTTGCTCAGTATATCAAAATCAAACTGACAAGACTGCATTTTTTGGGGAGGGAGTTTGCCAACAACAAACAACAAAATATCCTGCCTTTTAAGGGAAAAAAAATGTTTACACATTTTTTTCAAACCACTGTGAAATGCATGGGATTCTTGTATTAGTGTAGCAGCTGCAGTTTCTATTAAAGTGTCCTCTCAGATATGTTGTCTGCACTGTCAACTGATTCCAAATTTGAAAACATAATTTGAAAATCTAATTGCGATCCTTATTTTCAGAACGTGATTGTACAGGTCTAAACTACAGAGCTGGCAGTTTTTTATGCAGAGCTGACAGAATATTTTGTTGCCTGTGGAGGAAATTATAGTACTTCACAAGTTGCACCCGTTGCGATTTTCAAATTGTGATTTTGACTACCTAAATAGATGTTTTAATATTAAACCTATGCAGGCAAATCTCTTAAATCTCAAATTACCACAGAGGAGGAGAAGCAATAGACTTACTCCGCCCTGTGTCTCTGTTACTGCTGCTCTCAGGGGAACTGGCTCTAATGAGTTTATGTAAAAAGCAATTGCATTGTTTTGCATCATTACCTTTAACCAGCGAGGTGCGCCATCACTCAAGTTTATGTGACAAAACTCTCTACTCGTAAATTTACGCAGCTTTAGGGACCAGGATGTTGCATAGTATCCGAATAAACTAAAGTTAGCTGCTCCAGTGGCACCAAAGTGGAAAATAATACAAATCTTCAACATAGCAAATCAGGTGTATGCTTTAAGGAGGAGTTCACACTTGCATCAGAAAGTGCGACTAAACTGGGAATAAAAATGTAATTAACCCTGAGAGAAGAGAAAAGAAGAGAAGAGAAGAGGGCTAAAAACCAGGACTAGAATGAGACGAGTGGTGGTTAGTACTCAGTTACATTTACTTGAATAACTTTAAAAAAAAATGTGTTTTTCAGAGTACTTTTCTAGCAGCATACTTTTACTCCTACTTAAGTAATATTTTTATTGACGTAACAGCAGTAACTCTTGCCTTAGTAAAAGTTTCGGTTACTCTTCTTACTCTGAGTTAATCTGCATGTGACAAAAGCTTTATGTTGACAATATGAAATTATTTGCAGATATGATTTTAAATTCTTTCTTGAGTAATTTCTTGGACCACAACTTTGTACTTCTACTTAAGTAATAATTAGCTTGAAGTAAGATCTACTCTCTTCTACGCACCTCTGAACAGCACCAGCCTGAACCTAGATTGGGACTAAACCAAAATCAAACCTGAACCAAGTTTCATCATTTACATATTTTTTTAGCCACTACGTTCAGACAAAGTTGAGTTCACAGTTCACATTGTAGGATTTGATTATGTCATACTTTTAGATACAGGACAGAGCTCTATACACAGTAAACTTCAAGGAAGATTCACGTTTTTTTTTTTTACGTAACTATAATTATGAACCTTTTCTTTATTTGGTTGGGATTGGATCAACATGTGGCTATATTAATCAAATGGCTTAGAGCAGGAGTGGGCAATTATTTTTTCCATGGGGCCACATGCGAAACAGAAAATATTGTGTAAGGCCGGGCCAAAATGCTTAACTCAATTCTGCACATTAGTTGTATTTCTTTATAAAAAGCAGTAAATAGCATTGTTTTGACAAGCTGTTGAGACTGGTAAGAGTTTAAGTTATGACTAAGCAATGAAAAAGTGAGACTGCCTTACAAAAAATGTAATTGGAAAAAAAAACACCTTTAGAATAAAAGCAAAGCAGCTTTAGTCCATGCATGAGGTAAAATGATAAAGTATGTTTATTTTGTAATTCCAAATGAGCTTCAATGAGCCGAGAGAGTCGACCAAAGGGCTGTATGTGTCCTG